TGCTGTGTCTAGGGGTGCTGAGCCTGGAGGTGCTGTGCCTGGGGGTGCTTCGTCTCGCCTGGAGCCACTCTCCCCACAGGAGCTGCGTGAGTGGTTTGCCAGGCGCTGGAGGCGTGCTGCTGGTGCTGGTGGTTCTTCGGCTGCAGAGGGTACTGCTGCTGCGCGCCCCGCCAGTGCTCGTACTGTGGGTGCTGGAGCTGCTGAGTCTGAGAGTTCTCCTGGAGCTGGTCCTGCTGAGGGTGTTGGCGCTGAGCCTGCCGTTGGCGGTCCGACTGACAGTGCTCCTGGTGCTGCGGCTGGAGGTTCTGGAGCTTCTGGTGGTGCTGCTGGAGGTGCTGCTGGAGTGGGTGCACCTGCCGGGGCTGCTGGTGCTGTTCCTGCCGTTTCTAGCGTCGCCGCGCGGCCCCGACCGTACTTCGTTCCGCTCCTGCAGCAGGTTCTTGGTCTTACACCTCCTCCTCCTCCCTTAGAGGGTCCGCAGCCTGTCCGGTCACAGCCACAGCTACAGCCTGCCTCCCCTTTGCCTGCTCCTTCTCCCTACGCTGGTCCGACTGGAGGTCTTACTGAGCGTCGTGAGCCTGCGTCTCGTCCTGTGTCGCCTGTTCGTGCTGAGCGCGCTAGTGGTCGCGGGTCGCGTCAGCGTCCTCCTCCTGTCCCTGGCACACACCGGATGTCACTGCGTCCGTCCACTGCTCCTCTGCATGCCCCTTTGCCTTCTCCTCCTGCTTCCTCTCTTCCTGCTCTTGCCGACCCGGAGTCGGACTCTCTTCGTGCTGCCAGTCCTACTGTCACGCGTCTCCTGGCTACTGCTGTCACTGACCCCTCCTTCGAGTCGTCTGCTGCGTCTGCCCTTGTCACTGAGCTTGTCGACTTTGCTGCGCGCTGTCGTCTAGACTACGCTGCTCGTCTTGTCACTGAGTCTGAGTCCGCCTGTCCTCCGTCCGTCAGGGGTGAGTGTGCCCTTGGCACGGACGTCCTTGAGGACAGGCAGGAGGAGTTCCAGTGTCTGGCCGCCGCTTCACCTCGTCTCGCGTCTGTACTGCTAGCCCCTGAGGGAGACCCGGATGCACCAGACATCCCGACTCCGCGCTCTTACGCGGAGGCGATAGAGGGTCCCTACTCCTCTCAGTGGCAGGCAGCTATGGATGCAGAGATGGCTTCCTGGAAGTCCACAGGCACCTACGTTGACGCTGTTCCCCCTCCTGGGGCGAACATCGTCAGTGGCATGTGGATTTTCAGGGTGAAGCGGCCGCCGGGTTCTCCGCCTGTCTTCAAGGCGCGTTACGTGGCTCGTGGCTTCAGTCAGCGGCAGGGGGTTGACTACTTTCAGACCTTCTCCCCCACCCCGAAGATGACCACTCTTCGGGTTCTGCTGCACGTTGCTGCTCACCGTGACTACGAGCTCCACTCTCTTGACTTCAGCACAGCTTTCCTGCAGGGCAGCCTGCACGAGGAGATCTGGCTGCGTCGCCCACCTGGCTTCACTGGGTCTTTCCCTCCTGGTACCCAGTGGAGTCTCCGGCGTCCAGTCTACGGTCTCCGCCAGGCGCCACGTGAGTGGCACGACACACTGAGGACTACGCTCGCGGCACTTGGGTTTGCTCCTTCCACTGCCGACCCGTCGCTGTTTCTGCGCACCGACACCTCTCTGCCGCCGTTCTACATCCTCGTGTACGTCGACGACTTGGTCTTTGCCACAGCTGACACTGCTGGACTCGCCTACGTGAAGTCCGAGCTGCAGAAGAGACACACGTGCACTGACCTCGGTGAACTGCGCAGCTACCTTGGCTTGCAGATCACCCGGGACAGAGCACGCCGCACCATTACCCTGACTCAGTCACACATGGTGCAGCAGGTCCTTCAGCGCTTCGGCTTCACGTACTCCTCGCCTCAGGCCACTCCTCTGCCTACTCGCCACTCGCTCTCAGCTCTGCCTTCGGATGAGTCCGTAGAGTCGAGTGGTCCGTTTGCAGAGCTTGTTGGCTGCCTCATGTACCTGATGACCTGCACACGACCTGACCTCGCATACCCTCTTAGCATTCTCGCACGCTATGTTGCTCCTGGGAGACACCGACCAGAGCACATGGCTGCAGCGAAGAGGGTGTTGCGCTACTTGTGCAGTACGTCGGGCATGGGGCTAGTGCTTGGAGGGCGCAGTCCAGTGGTCCTCACTGGGCACGCAGACGCTTCTTGGGCTGACGACCAGGCTACGCAGCGGTCGTCACAGGGTTACACCTTCAGCCTTGGTTCCGGCTCTGTCTCGTGGCGGGCTACCCGCTCGTCTTCTGTTCTCGGCTCCAGTTGTGAGGCTGAGATCTACGCTGGGGCTATGGCTGCACAGGAGTTACGCTGGCTCACCTACGTGCTGACCGACCTTGGGGAGCAGCCTCGTTCTCCTCCAGTCCTGTACGTAGACAACAAGGCCATGCTGGCCTTGTGTCGAGAGCAGCGACTGGAGCACAGAACGAAGCACATTGCTCTTCGCTACTTTCTTGCTCGTGAGCTACAGCAGCGTGGACAGCTGCGACTTGCGTACGTGGCCTCTGAGGCCAACACTGCTGATGTCTTCACCAAGGCACTTGCGCCTTGTGATCATCAGCGTTGCTGCACGCAGTTGGGTCTTGTGCCTGTCTTGCCTCACTTGCTCTCCTCTTGACCTTGCTTGTACCTTCGCATATATATACTCTTGCTCCTGTATATCTCTATATATGATCTTGCATGTGAACTGGCCTTGTGGCCTTTGAACTTGTGCTCGGAATGCGTGGTGACTTTGTGATCCACCCTGAGCTTTGCTTTGCTTTGCTTGACTGGTCTTGTGACCCCTTGTTCTCCCCCACTTTGCCTATGGGGGTGTGTCAGAACATATAGCTTACTTGTTTGTATAGGCTATAGTGGGGTATCCCATAGGGGGTACAACACATTAGGGTTTCCTATTTGTATTCACTTCACTTCATAGTCATCCATTCTCGTTCACATCTTCTCAGTATTAACTACTTCTGAGAGTGACAACCAATCACATCAATTAAAGCATTTTGTCGGTAACAACGAAGCCACGCCCTCAGATTCACTTTTGTTGGGCTGAGATAGCCCCTTAGGATCTTTGCAAGGGATAACTCTAGGTGAAGTAGTTGTAATAGCGGAAGCGTTTAGTGAAGAATTTGAACCGACCTTGCACTGGTGTGTGAGAGCAAAGTTGATTAAATTAATCAAGCAGATACAAGGATTTATATAAGAGTACAGAGAATAGATAGATAACTGTATTGCTGTTGCGGTTCGATATAGCGCGACTCGGGCAACTGCTCTGTAACGAGTCAGTTGTGTGTCCTTAACTGTCGCGCTGTAATTGTCGAGTCAAAGGTCAGCGACCTTTGACTTTCTCGTAACCTCCAGGCGGTTACCCTAACCTCCGAGGTTGACTCGATGCTTCGATTGGGACTGCTTCGCTTGGTACCTTGGATTTTGATACGACAGAAGCGTACTTAGGATTTATTGTTTCCAACAACTTTTAGGCAGGTAAGGGTATCAGGGTCCCTCTGCCCCTAGACCCTGATCGTCAGGGTCGCCTAAAAAAAAAGCCTGAAAGTTCAGTGTTACTTAAAAAAAAAGTCTGATGCATCAGTGTTCCCTACAGAAAAAGGCTGATACTAGTACGGTAGTCTTTATTTTACTAGTAGTAAAAACACTAGGAAGGAAGCAAACAGCAGAACGGGATGTGAGGCTGGATGGCAGGTAGCACGGCTGGGAGGCGTGGATGCATCAGTGCTTGCCAGCACGACCTAGACCGCCAGGATCCCTCGCAGCGCAGCCTGCCAGCATCTCTGTGCTGCAACCTTGTAATCGGCCAAGTCACTTAATGTTGCAAATGTGGCCAATGAACGGACCAGGCGCGCCAACTAAGGGGCCATCAGTGTGGGCAAAATTGTCCGATACCGTATTCTCCCGGACATAACACCCTAGGGTATAGCTAAAAATACAGGGAAAAAATGGGGGGGGGGTCTCCTCGTAGGAAAAAAATACATAATACCCGGGTCTTTACATATGGCATATTTTAGTGTTAGTGTTTTTTTAATTAGTCAATGTGGGTGTTTTGCTGGTCGTTTTAGCATCACTGCCTGAGGCGCGAATGTGAGTTTCGGCCTCGAACTTCATCGCCCCCACGAAAATGGCATGTGGCACCTCTCTTGCCTGAAAATCCAGTGTTCCTGAACGAAGCACCGACGATTTTTTACCTACCCTGAAAATCCAGTGTTCAGCTTTTCCTGATACCTACCCTGTAGGAGTTCGTCCGCGAAATTTCAGGGTATAATTCCTGATATCGTAGGGCCTGAACGAAGCACCGACGCGTCGGGGAAATTCGTTTTCCCCCGCGTCGGCGCTGTACATGGTGACTTTTGCGTGATTGACAGGTGGATGTACCTGGACAGCCGAAACTCACGGCTCTGGCACGAATCTGTAATAGCGTGAGAGTTCAGCCTACACTCTCGTTATAAATCAGCCAACACTTGTAAAAAAACGCTGGAAAATCAGCCAATACATAAAAAAAAAAAACCTGAACAATCAGCCAACACTTAAAAAAAACCGAATTATCAGCCAACACATCAGCCACAAGTCTGGGAAATCAGCGTCCAGACCCTAAATCAGCCTTTTTTTCGCTGACTTCTGAGGCCCTGCTGTTCATAGTTTTTGACTACCGATAGGCGTGCCTGAATGCAGCCAATGGAACAAAAGGCTTCCCCGAGAACCTTTTGTGACCATCTCTCCAGTTTCAGCTTTCCGCAAAAGTTTGGTGCATCATGCTCCGCAAAAGTTGTACAAAAATCAAAACAGAGAGGGGATCAGCAGCAGCAGACCCCCAGCTGGGGCCTAGGGAGATCACTGGTATAGCGTGGGCATTATTACACTGGGTGGAAACCAGCAAACGAGATAACTACCCATAACATAATTTATACAGCAATACAAAACGTGCATTATCAGTTTGGTGACCGAGATTGCAGATGGAGCTATTCAGTGAATGTGGGAATCATAACGTTGTTGACCCCATGGATTGCCACGTGGGGGTCTTGATACACATTGTTCACCTTGACATATGCGCCACCATGCGTGCCCGGTTTTCCAAATTGAGCGAGCTTTGTTGGGAACCGCCTGACCTTGAAGTCCCCATGGCCAGTCACAATCTGCACCACAGGGCGGATGGAAAAGCACGGAGGTGGAGGGGAGAGAGGGGAGGTGTGGGGGAAGAGGGAGGGGAGGGTTTGGAGGTCAGGGGGAATTGACCGAGAGAGCGCGCAGGCCAAACGACAAAATACGGTATTATCTTATAGAAATGAGATGGTTCCAAGGGGAGGTCGAGGCGGATTAGAGTTTTGACAGAAATGCATTCATGTCTACCATAAACACTCACCAGTGTGTTGTAGGGAATTTTCACGAGCTGCTTGTACATGTAACGGCCCGCCAGCATGTGGTACGCGAGCACCTGCCACATCTTCGCGGGGTCCTTGCGAATCAGGTTGCGCGTGTACGCGCTGAGCTTGTTCCACCCTGTGTTCATCGGCAGGAGCAGCGTCGCGTGCGATGTAGGCAGCTTCTCTACTAGAGTGTCGTTGAATCCTGAAACACGAACACAGTAAACATCACAAGAACTAGGATTAAGGTGTGACGGTAAAATAGACATGAAAGTAGCTAAAGTGGAAGTAAGGGAATGAAAGGTACTACCGAACGAAAAGAACATACTGAATTATCACAACTGGTGGCTTAAAGAAGCTGGCTGGAAATGCCTTTTACATATTGACGATATGTTACATCAGGCTGCGACCTGGCGAGTTTTGGAAACCCTTCGTTCAGCGTGATGAGGCTCGCGCACTAAGAGCGGACAACCCAACATGTCATGCCAGCATTCAGGATATTCTCTACACGTTGCACACGATTGCGTCACACCGCATCATGAGGCACCTTGGCATTCGCCACGTGCAACACTCACCGCATTCCCTCATGTACGTAATCGTCGTCGTCATTTTCTTCCTCTTAAGAGCAGCCTCGATTTGTTTCAGCGCGTTCGCCGGAGAGTACTGAGCGCGTGTCGCGACGAGGGCGCCGAGCAGCAACACCGCGAGGAGCACCACCGGACCGTTGAGCCTTTGCGTCTCCATTGCTGCCGGGTAAAAACGTTTCCAAGGCGCCTCGGATGTTACGATAAGGAGTCTGAAGCGTTACCGTTATCAGCTGTGCTGCGTTATAGTTTATTTGCAAGGAAGTACTAGTTTCTAAGGACGAGTGAAAACGGAGTCGGGGGCTCGTTAAACGCTCGGGGGTGTTTCTCGATTAACTTACTCAGCGCGTGTCTGCAAGTCTAAGATTACTGAGGATGATCCTGGTTCATCAGGAGTTGTGAGAACCACGTTCATCTCCTGCTTCGTCTGCTTCCTGTGCATGAAGGCATGGTGTTTCCGATGGTTGGTTGATTGGTGCAATGACGGGGATTCGGGAACAACAGGGGGATGAGCTTCTGCAGAGGAGCACTGAGGGTGGTTCAGGGCGTGTGTGATCTGGTTTAAAGTTCGAAAAACGTTCGAACTTGAGGTGGTTACTTGTTTCGTCAGGTTCGGCGAAATATTTTGGCGAAACCAATATATTATGGGGCAGTAAAAGTTCGAGTTCGAATTTTGAATTGACTCGAGTTGGAGTCGTGAACGTGCGTGCGAATGTTGATTCGAGCGTGTGTGATTTGTAGCACGAACGAAACACAGACGCAACGGGCGACCGTTTCGCGAGTGGCTGAAATGGCAGAGCGAAGTTACTCAACGATTCGGTGCAATGAGTGGTAGCCACGTGGTCAGATTCGTGCGGGTAGCCTAAACTGTCACGAGCCGGGTAACCTAAACTGTAGACGTGCGGCTCGGCGCGTTTTTTTCAAGTTCGAGTGTCTGGGTTCGACCTTGTATGTGTGTGTGCCTTTTTACTGTGTTGTAGACCTGATGTTCGAACTTCAATAAAAGGGAAGTCGAATTTCGTTCGACATAAGTTCGTTTCACTAAGATCGACCAAAAAAAACGTTATTTTACAAATTTCAAAGACCATACACGCCCTCAGAAGAACATATGCTTCACATGTGGGCTGGTGGCGGATCAAGCAATCCGCCGATTGAGACCGTACGAGAAAGTGCAGGACCAATCGTATCCTTGCTTCACCCATGCATTCTGAGGGTGGTGCATGTAGGGAATTGAAGCGTACTTCGCGCCATGTCAGACTGCCCCTTCCGAGCCGCGAAATGCTCTTGGAACTGGAAGGAAACGGTGTTCAGCTCCACGTCAGCTAATGCAATTGCGGTCACGAATGAGTGTTCAGTTTCACGGGCCGCGCAACCTTTGTGTCAGCAACGTCAGCCCGTTGTGGAGGGCTGGTTGGTGGAGGTGTGCACAGAGTTGACCAGTAGTCCCATTGATGCTGTTTCATTGGCAGGCTCCGACCATTTTCTCATACAGGGCTAGTAACGATGGAGCAATCGAAACGCACTCCTGATGCAACCACCTGAACCAGAAGATGTCGGTGGCAGAAGAGCACTAAATGTTCAGCCATTTTCAGGTGCATGCAAATCAGTCGGGACGTTTTGTTCAGGTGCATGCTATACCGTCGTTTTTGTCCCTCTGTTGTTACTGTCTGTGCACCTCCGCCGCGAATATCACTGTTCTGTCAGGGGATGCTACCCATACGACTGAGACCCACTGGCGCAGCTCTCGCACGAACTCGTCGTCCAACCACACCAGTCGCAGCCTTACTCAGAACAAGGTCAATACATATCGCAACAAACCTGACAGAAAACAGGCAAAAAAATAAAACCCAGGGCGGCTCTTGTGTTTAGGGCTGATCTCTTCCGAAAAGTGAGTCCAGTTTCCCTAGTTATTATTATTTTTCTTTCCACTGCCTGACGAGACATCAACCGTAAACACCAGGACGGTTCCCGTGTTTAGGGCTGATCGCTCCCGAACAATTTCCAGGTTCCTTAGGAGTTGTATTTTTTTTCATTTCGGGCTTCCCTGCCGGCCTATTGTGTGTGTTGCGTGTGTTGCGTCTGCCGCTTGTGTTGCACGGACTGCATCCCCTGACAGAACAGTGTTTTTAGGGGCTGATGTGTACAAATAGTGGTAGCAGAGGGAGAAACACGACGGGATAGCATGCACCTGAGAAGCTCTTCCAGACTAAGCTGCATGCACCTGAAAATGTCCGCCAAATGTTCGTTACAAGCGTGACCGTCGTCAACTCGCTTCATGCTTCCTTCCCTGACATATCGTTCACTGAAGTGATATGTGCTCTCACCATATTAAGGCTTACTATTAGTCTCTTCCAACTGTTCTACAACTGGGCTTGCTAAAGCTTGTTATAACTTGACAATATCAGTACGACATTTTCGGGAGGAGGCATTCTACAACTCTACACAAGCTCTTCTGATCCAGCATGTGAGAGTGGCTCTTCTCTGTACGACACCCTTGGTGTTAGCTGAGCATAATCCAACAGAAGTACAAATACATGGCGCGAATCTCTACTGTACAGAGTCTATGCAGACCAAATACTCTTGACCCACCAACATCTACAGCACGATATACCTAAACAGTCACCATCACTTGAAATCAGGGACAAGCACATTGTTGACCCCATGTACAATCACACGGCCATCTTGGAAAATTTCCCCAATTTCGACATATGTTCCCCGATGCTGGCCCGGCTTGGCATACTGGGGGTCCTTAGTGGGCAGGCGGCGGATGAACTGTTTTTTCATCCCTGTTGGCAACTGCATAATGAGGAAAGGATGGGGGGGGGGGGGGGGGGGGGTGGGGAAGAATGAAAAAGGTGCAAGCAGGAACGAGTGTACGGTAGCATACAGAACCGAGAAACGAGACGGTGCATGCAGGGAAGCTGCAGTACAGATCACGTTGTGAAGGATAGTCTAAGAAGTTTCAGACTAATTAGTGACTGGGACGAATACAGGAGGTGACTAGTGTTGCCATCGTGCTCCGAAACGATACCCCGAGAGCACACACCTTAATGCCACGCGGATAACCATGCGAGCTGCACTGCACTACTCCAACCGAAACAGCCACGGCAAGAAAAAATGAAACAGGGATAACCATGACATGAAAAGCACGGACCTGTGTTCCAGGCGGATACCACGCAAGCTGCACTTTGGTGTACCGCTCCGCGACAAAATGGTAAGCGAATATTTGCCAGAGCCGCGTGTTGTTGCTTCGGATCTGCCCGCGCGCCCAGGCGCTCATTTTGTTCCACCCGCTGTTGATTGGCACCAGAAGCGTATACTTGTTCTTGGGCAGCTTCTCCGCAAGAGTATTGTTGAAACCTGCCCGTCGCACCAGGGAGAAAATAACAAAAATCAGGCAGGAAGTGCAGCATTAAGGAACATGAAAACCAGGGTAGCCATTGAGAAGGAAGCCGCTGGAAACAGACTCGATCATCACGACAACAAGAGGGTTTCCGTTGGATGATCTAAAGATGAACGGCTAAGATGAAAGGCCGAGTTGCACACCACTTTGCTGAGAAAAGGTCTGTCAGGAAGGGACCTTGCGAGGTTACCGAACAGCCCTCGTCTCATCGCCTTTTCGCAACTGGGACTTGAAACCTGTCCCGCCCTGATGTGTCAGTTAGCAAAATGCTTACGCCGGTATCTGCCGATTATAGCCGCCTGCTATACCATATGGGACGCTTATACAGCAGCCACCATCGTACATCTAACTCGATTTGAAGACAAACGAGTTACAATCAATATAAGCATCTCGTCAACCAGTATCACATGCTCTTGCCACTCAGACAGTTGGGTTGCTCAAAGCGGCACGTTACTTGCACGCTTGAAATACCTAGGGTGCACGAGCGGCGCGTGAAGACTCGCTACGGGGTCGTCGTTTGAGACGCCTCTAACAAAAGTCGACTCTCTACTCGCAGTTCCCATTCTGAGGCACCTCAAGGAAGCTATCTAAGGCATACGAGAGTCGCTTGAAGACTTTTTACGGGGTCGTCTCAACGTGAACCATTTCCAAGGAGTACGACGCGTGGTCTGCACGCTTACCGCTTTTTCTTAAGTACGTGATGGCCGTCGTCAGCCGCTTCTTCCTCAGCGCGTTCTCTATAGCGCGTACGGCGAACTTCCCCGAGTACTGCGCGTACGCGCTAGACGCGGATGCGGAAAAGAGTACAGCGACGACGAGAAACGCGAGCAGCGGCGAACGGGACGACGACGTCGTCGCCATCACGACGCTTGCAGCAATCCGGAAGCGCGCTCGGAAGGAGGATAGGAATGGATATTATCCCGGGCTAAGGAACCTGTTGCAGGAGAGGGACAGACCAGAAAGCGACTCGGAAGTTTGCTTGAATTCAAACTACGCTGCCCTTCTGCGAGATGCGGTGCGCTGACCGCATGTTCTTTACAAATGCTACCACTGGTGTGCCCCAAACCAAGGTTTTCTCAGATGAGTTCAGCGCAAGTGAACAAAATCAAGATGGGTGGTTGTTCCGTTCGACGACAGGAGCACGTTGCGTACAAGATGCGACGAAGGTTCACGAGGGTGACAAATCGACAGGGATTTTTTGAGGAGAGGAGACGCATACGCAAATGAAATGCGTGCGACTTGAGGGCGACGTCCGAACGTCAGGGCCTCTATCGCAAAGGTTCGTGGCACCGACTTGTTTGAGCAAACCAGCCTCGTACGACTAGTTCCATTGGTGGGAACCCTGCACGCACGATTCGTGAACAATAGTCGTGAGCGAATGGAACTTGAAGACAAGGATGTGCTGGCAGAGAGGTCGTTGGTTGGTTGCGCTTCCGTGTGCCAGGGCGACAGGTGAGGGGGCGGGGGAACAGCCGATCAGGTGTTTTCGGTCTGGTTGGTCGGGCTGTGCTCAGAAACGCCTATCTTGCTCCACCTCGTCTGCCTATCTGCGATAGACACGTTCGTGAAAAAAGTCGCTCAGGTGGTCGCCCAGGTTATGGTCCCAGGAGGGGGAAGTCGGAGTTCTGGAGGCGCAGGGTTAACGTTGACGGAGTCAGACTTTCAAAAGAGGCCAACGGATCACAACCAATAATACAACGTCGTCTAGCGACCTTTGCATCACTGGTCAACAACGACCTTCCCCACACGTCCCCAGAAGGACACACACGTCCCCGCCAGAACGAAGTGCACCGCATGTACTGTAATAATACACCACGATTTCCCTTGTAGGGATCTCGTATTCGAGCTTCGTATGTGTGTCTCCCATATAGAAAACTCACCTTGTTGCCCAATATTTTCCTCTTCCTGCACCTTTTGATGTTGGGAACAAGTAAGCTAAATGCGCCTCTGTCATGTCGAAACACCAAGTCAGAAGCGAAGCAGAACATATCGAAGCATCGGCGAGTCAACCCTCGAAGGTTTAAACAACTGTTGGAGGTTACGCGAAAGTCAAAGGTCAGCGACCTTTGACCTGACAAGTACAGCGCGAGAGCAAGGACACACAACTGACTCAATATTGAGCAGTTGCCCGAGTCGTCACTGTATCGAACCGCAACAGCAAACAGTAAAGCAGTTATTAACCGTATCTCTTCGTATTCCTTGTACTCTAATATAAACCTTTGTACTTGCTTGTTTTAATCAACTTACTTTGCCCTCACATACCAGTGCAACGTGGTTCACAAAGTCCTTATCGAACGCTTCCGCTATTACATCATCCTACTCTGGATTTAGTCCTACAAAGATCCTAATGGCCTTTTCAGCCCAACATGGTATGAGAGCAGGTTAGGATAAATTCAACTATTAATACCTACATCATCAAGAAGACATGTCTACCCGGAAGGAGAGAAGCTCCTCCAACGGCTCTCTTGGTACTACCCCTACTCCACCCCCTGCCTCTGGCCTACAGACAGAGGAGGGCATAACAGCGAGATCGGCAGCTGGGTCTACTGAAACACCCGCAAATCAAGGGGCGGGCTTCAATCCAAGCATGATGGAGGAATCTTTCTCCTTCATGTCCTTCTTTGAGCAACACCAGCAAGGGGCACCTGCGCTATCAAACAACAGCAACAACAACAACGTGACGCCCATGAGTCTCGACGACTCATCCTACGCACGCGGAAAACAAGAACAGCAGCCTACCTTCGCTCCGTACAGGCCCCAGCGCGGCTTCGTCAGCTTTATGCCACAACCACAACCTGCACCGGGACAAGACAGGACACTGGACGCACTTCAAGTTTAGTCGCAGTTCGCGCATGTCATAAAACTGCAAACGTCAAAGCCTTTCGACGGGAATGACTTATTTACCTGGTCGTTTGAATTCGAGCTGATGATGGAAGGCGCGCAAATCCTTGGCTTCTTCGACGGGTCCCTGCCATATCCAACACACGGAACATAGTACGACAAACAGCAGTATACGTATCAGTCAATGATGGCGTATACAATCCTACTGAGGAATGCCACACCAAAACCAGCAGCAGGGAATATACGGTCCTACCGGGGATACAGCAACTCTGCAGAGCTCGCGTACAACCACTAGAAGAACCTATATCAAGCAACAGACAGTGTTAACCAAAGTCGGCTAATGGCGCAGTTGACAACAATTGAAATGAAAGGAATGATGTCGACTAGTTTGGGGCATGGGGTACAAAAGTGACGAGAGAAAAGTTGTACCCCCTAAGAAACACCCCTACAAAACCTAAACCTAAATTATATAAATCATATAATTTGACACACCCCCATAGGTGAAGTAGGGGGATAGCCAAACCTAACAGGGGTCACAAGACCAGTTCACATGCAGGTTTATAACACAGCAAGAGATACAGTGATCACATCCTAGCAAAAGTAAACATGCAGGCATATATATATATATAGTGATCACAGTACAAGCAGGGTCAAGAAGTAAGCAAGTGAGGTCCAGTAGGCACAAGGCCTAGCACAGTGCAAAAGCGCTGATGGTCAACAGGCGGAAGCGCCTTGGTGAACACATCAGCAGTGTTGGCCTCAGTGGCCACGTAACGCAGACAAAGCTGACCACGCTGCTGCAGCTCTCGAGCAAGAAAGTACCGCAGAGCAATGTGCTTCGTTCTGTGCTCCAGTCTGTGCTCCTGACACAAGGCAATGGCAGCCTTGTTGTCGACGTACAGCACTGGAGGAGAACCAGGCCGCTCTCCAAGGTCGGTCAGCAGGTAGGTCAGCCAGCGTAGCTCCTGGGCAGCCATGGCTGTGGCGTAGATCTCAGCCTCACAACTGGAGCTGAGAACAGAAGAAGAGCGTGTAGAACGCCAAGAAACTGAGCCTGAGCCAAGGCTGAAGGTGTAACGCTGTGACGACCGCTGAGTAGCCTGGTCGTCTGCCCAAGAAGCGTCTGAGTGCCCTGTGAGAACAGGCCGGTCTCGCCCTCCAAGCACTAGCCCCATGCCCGACGTACTGCACAAGTAGCGCAACACCCTCTTAGCTGCATCCATGTGCTCCTTCCGGTGACGGCCGGGAGCGACATAGCGTGCAAGGATGCTAAGAGGGTATGCAAGGTCAGGTCGTGTGCAGGTCATCAGGTACATGAGGCAACCCACAAGCTCTGGATACGGGCCACTCGGCTCTACGGACTCATCCGAAGGCAGAGCTGAGAGCGAGTGTCCCGTAGGCAGAGGAGTGGGCTGAGGCGAGGAGTACGTGAAGCGGAAGCGCTGAAGGACCTGCTGCACCATGTGTGACTGAGTCAGGGTGATGGTGCGCCGTGCTCTGTCCCGGGTGATCCGCAAGCCAAGGTAGCTTGTCAGTTCACCCAGGTCTGTGCACGTGTGTCTCTTCTGCAGCTCCAACTTCACGTGGGCGAGACCAGCTCTGTCCGCTGTGGCAAAGACCAAGTCGTCGACGTACACGAGGATGTAGAACGGCGGCAGCGAGGTGTCGGTGCGTAGAAACAGCGACGGGTCAGCAGTAGAGGGAGCAAACCCAAGAGCCGCAAGTGTCGTGCTCAGTGTGTCGTGCCACTCACGCGGTGCCTGGCGAAGACCGTAGACCGGCCGCTGAAGCCTCCACTGGGTGCCAGGGGGAACCGACCCAGTGAAGCCAGTAGGGCGGCGCAGCCAGATCTCCTCGTGCAGGCTGCCCTGCAAGAAAGCTGTGCTGAAGTCAAGAGAGTGAAGCTCGTAGTCGCGCTGAGCGGCTATGTGCAGCAGCACCCGAAGAGTAGTCATCTTCGGGGTGGGGGAGAAGGTCTGAAAGAAGTCGACTCCCTCTCGCTGACTGAAGCCCCTAGCCACGTAGCGCGCCTTGAAGACAGGCGGAGAACCCGGCGGTCGCTTCACCCTGAAAATCCACATGCCACTGACGATGTTCGCCCCAGGAGGGGGAACCTCGTCGACGTAAGTGCCAGTTGACTTCCAGGAAGCCATCTCTGCGTCCATGGCTGTCTGTCACTGAGAGGAGTAGGGACCCGCCATCGCCTCAGTGTAGGAGCGCGGGGTCGGGATGTCTGGTGCATCCGGGTCTCCCTCAGGGGCAACAAGCATGGACACGAGATGAGGCACAGCAGCAGCAAAGCAGTGAAACTCCTCCTGTCTGTCCTCAAGGACGTCCGTGCCAAGAGCACACTCACCCCCGACGGACGGAGGACAGGCAGACTCAGACTCAGCAACTAGGCTAGCAGCGTAGTCCAGGCGACAGCGAGAAGCAAAGTCAACCAGCTCACCGACCAGAGCAGACGCAGCAGCGGACTCAAAAGACGGGTCAGTGACGACAGTAGCGAGAAAACGCGTGACAGTGGGACTGGCAGCACGACGGGAGTCAGACTCCGGGTCAGGAAGAGTAGGCAGCGAAGACTCAGGAGGAGACGGCAGCGGGACACGCTGCGGAGTAGTGGAGGGACGCAGAGTCATGTAGTGAGTGCCCGGGACAGGAGGAGGACGCTCACACGGGGCACGACGACCGGTGCGCGCAGTACGGACAGGCGACGCTGGACGTGACTCAGGCGCACGACGCTCAGTAAGGCCTCCCGTGGGACCAGTGTAGGGAGAGGGACCAGGGAGAGGGGAGGCGGGCGGTAACTGTGACTGCGACTGGACTGGCGTGAGACCAAGAACCTGCTGAAGGAGCGGGACAAAGTAGGGTCGCGGCCGCGTAGCGGCTCCAGAACCAGTAGAGACAGCAGCGGCGGGGTCCTCAGCACCAGCGACAACGCCAACGTCCGGGTCCGCAGCACCAGCAGCAGCTCCAACGCCCGGGTCCTCAGCACCAGCGACAACGCCAACGTCCGGGTCCTC